ACCAAAGAGAAATATTCATGGCCACAAAGCAATGCTTTGCATTTGGTGGGATAGGCACAGCGTCGTTTATTATGAGCTACTCAGACCGAACGAAAGTATCACGGGGGATCGATATCAATCACAATTAAACCGTCTGAATGAAGCATTGTTGGAAAAAAGGCCAGCAGTAGCCAGCAATCGACGTAAAGTCATGCTTTTGCACGACAACGCTCGACCACACGTTGCCAAAGCCGTCAAAGAAACACTGATGCAGCTCGAGTGGGAAGTTCTCCCGCACCCAGCGTATTCACCAGACTTAGCTCCTTCGGACTATTACTTGTTCCGGTCGATGCAGCACGGCTTGGTGGATACACACTTCAGAAATTACGAGGATGTGCTAAAATGGATCGACGAATAGATTGCATCAAAAGACCAATCGTTCTATCGTCGCGGAATCTACGCGTTGCCCGAAAGATGGGAAAAATGTATAGCTAGCGAGGGAAAATACTTCGATTAATGTATTTCTTGCTTTTGATGTCGAAATAAATGAGTTTTTTAAACAAAAAAACCGCAAGAACTAAGTTTACCACCTAATAGAAGATAGAAAATATTAGATTTTATAAGAAATATGAAATATTATAACTAATTTATAACTAATAATCCTAATGTTATGAAAATCTTCATTATTGTTAATTTTAATATCAAATTTTTAAATTTATTTACAAAAATGCTATTATTTTTAAGAACTTTTCTAACAGTGTACTTTTTGAAAATAATCGAAATACTAATGGTATTTTTTTTTCTTAAAGTACGTTCAATTATCTTTGCAAGCCCGCTAAAAAAATCTCTCTAATGGTTTGTTTCTTGAAACTATAAATTTCCAAAAGAAAAATATTGCTCTCGCGAATTAAAATTTTCTTTTCTCTTTCTTCTGAATTTCGAATATTTTCAATTTCTCGATTTTTATTCCCATTCATTCTTCTTTTTGACTATTTGACGTATCGATAAAAAAAAGTTCAAATTCTATATATTACATGCAAAGATATACGTGATTGAAAACGTCGGGTGTCGCACATCAGAATCGGGAGGCAGATATAGTGCCTTAGCTAAAGATTAATATTGTTAAACATTATTATCCTTCAAATATTTAGCGAATATTCTTTCTAACATCTGGCTCTTATTTATCTAAATATGCTTAATATAAGTTTAAACATTATGTTTTAACAGTGTTATTTTATAAGTAGAATTGCAATATGTTGTATGTTAATAGAAGTGGATATTTTTATTATATTTATGATAAATTTACTTTAGCGTAATGAAAGCATAATTTAATCCTATTGACTCATAAAGTATATGAATTATACTTTGGGTGCAAAATAGATGATAAGATTTAGACCTCTCAGATTTGTTGTAAAACTTGTATATAACAACTTTGCAATACTGTTTAAAGGATGAAAATCGAACTATGCCTTCCTTAAAAACTGTTACAACTAAACGTTTTTATTGTTTCGTTTAAGATGTTTGAATTAGGCGAAAAATATATCAAAAATGGTCGGCATAAACAAAAAATTAAAAATTTCCCAATGAATTATTAAAGGTTCTGTCAGTGGACCAAAATGGCTTATTTTTTACAGTCTCCTTGATTTAAATAAATGAATTTATTCTGATTTTAAACTCAGAATTTAATAACTCGTAGTTAAAACTACTACCTTACAGTTCAATAGTTTATTTGCAGCATTATCAAAGGTTCTTACCTTCCCGCCGATTTTACAAGATCCACCACGCGTGTATATACCCGTGGACACATTCAGGACCTGGAGCAGCCCTTGGGAGTTGCCAGCCACTATTAAGTTGTTGTTAGCAGGAATGAAGCTACAACATAAAACTTCAGCTCGTTGTTGGTCATTCACTACCCGTAAGCAATTCGGCTCTGTGTCCATGCACACTCTCCAGAGCCTTATTGTAGCATCCAAAGAAGAGGAAACTATGAGATCGTTGCTGATACTCCAGTCAAAAGCAGTCACACTATTACGATGACCTTCCAAGAGAACAATCACTTTTGGAGGGGTATTGATGACTTCACATACAGACAGTGTACCATCCAATGATGCACAGCACAGTTTGGATCTGTCATTGTTAGCAAATTTGAGCATGGTTACAGCTGCCTTATGTTGGTCGAACACATGATGGACACCTGCGAATGCAAAATTATCTGCAGTTGATCTACGTTGTACAGCGTGATGCTTCATCTTCCTTTCTGACAACTCCTCATTAATTGTGTGACTGCCTATGCTGCTCTGCTCCTGTCGATCCCCGTAACGCCGGCGTAATAATTCTGATCGTAATTTCAAATACTGTGCACCGATTTCCGGATCTCTGAACAGTTTTTCACGTAACAGTTGATTCCTACGACGAATGTACAGCATTCCTGTAAGTAGAATCTCAAAACAAATATCAAAACTGAAAAATTCAACTATAGTTCATATTATTTTAATTATGATCATTCAAATAGAATATACCTAAACTGGATAGCTTATTAGCTCGTAATGTATTATATTTTGCATCAAGCGCAAATACTTGTTGATGCCACATAGTGGTCATTTTCTGTGATGTACTGCTAGCTTCGACAGTATTGCCACAAAATTCTGTCATTGATATGTAATCTATACCAATTTCTCTCTCTCTCTCTTTCTCCCTCTTAATTCTGTAAATAATTAGTGTTTTTTTTTTACTATTATTTTGAGTAAAATATAGCATAATTTATTACATACATACATGTTAATACGAAGTATTATGTACGTTTGTTAATAGAGATTCGCACAGATAATCGCTGATAAGATAAAATAATTAAAATCTTATAAATGCATCCTGAAAGAAAGAGATATTTGTATTTAAAATGGCACATTATTTATAGTTTATGATATACTTTCTGTAGGAGGTGGCACATTTCTTTTCCTCTCTCTCCCGAGATCTTCCACTTATCTCTTTTTCCTTGATCATTTCAAGTTCGTTGAACATTATTACAATAATCGTTGAGATTAATTCTTTTTTCTGCAAATACATTAATATTTAACACATTCAATGAATTATTCCTCTTTTTCATCGTTAGCCGTGGCACACAGAAAAACTTAAAGGAACGTCTACATTGGAAGTAAATAGCAAGAAGTAGGAAGTAAGAGTAAGAAATTGACCAACCACAGTCGAATGTGAGAAGAATAATTAACTATGATTGGTCAATTTCTTATTCTTACTTCCTACTTCTGTTTACTTCCAATGTAGACATCCCTTAAGAGTAATGGCACCTGCACACAGGACGCGGTAATGCTTGTCGCGCGGCGGAAGTTCGCGCGACAGCCAATCAATATGCTGCTTTCCGTAATAACCTTCTAGCTCTTACGGAAAAAAACTTACAATGTTCTGTATGCAAGAGCCATAACCTGCGTAATATAGTAATTTACTAGAATTTACGCCATTTTGCAAGTCGACATTCAATACCTAATCCCCATAGCGCGTATTTCGTTAAATTCGCGTAAAGCGTAACCAATAACTTCCTAAAGCTAACCAATAAAAGATCAGGCTTTCTATTGTACAATACAACAGAAATACTAAATTGATTCTCGATTGGTTGTTATTATTTAGGCGTATTGTTAAATAATGGGGATAAGGTATTCTACATGTAAGAATGTGTGAAAGCGTAATGTGTGTAGCTGTACGATAAGGTTAAGATAGTAGTTATTAACAACGTTGCCTACTGAGAAGTGTGAAGGTAAGGAAAATAATTTATTACTTTTGTTATATACTTAGTCCCTTTACTCTAAGAAAAACTGAATTTTTTATTTTTTAACTCTTTATTAGACTGTGTAAAGTATATGTGACTCATTTTCCGATAGTTCGTAAAGGAGTGACATGCAGATTGATACACAAATAATTGGAAAATGTAATATATTTATGTTTCTGCATTTTTAAAAAGGCGATACCAAAAATAAAAACAATTTATAGAACATTAATAAAATATAAATTGAAAAAACTCGAAAGTAAAATAAAAATATTACATATATTCTGAATCAAATTTATTTTGCATCTGACTTTACATCGAAATATACATTTTATAATCGAAATGAACAGATATTACTTTGTTTTATTTGTTGTACTGATAAACGACTTTTCACAAGTATTATTTATTAGATTTATGAAGTGTTTAAGAAGATAAATGTATACATATATATATATATATTCAAGAATCGATTTCTAAACTGAGATTTCCCATCCCTAATCTAAATACTGAACAATCAACACGGTATTAGCTGGAAACGTTTTTATTTTTATTTTACAAAAATATTTTATAATTTTTTAAATATTTTTTTTAATAATTTTTCAGTATTTGGATTAGGGATGGGAAATCTCAGTTTAGAAATCGATTCTTGAATCGATTTCATATCAAACCAATTAAAATCGATTTGCTAAAAAATCGGACTAAAGAAAATCGATTAAAAAATCGTTAAATATTCTTCAAATCAGGGAGCTTATTACGGTTCTGTGTAAGAAGTAAAAATGTAAAAAGTGAGCGAATTCACTAGATGTTGAACAATGAAATTATAAATATTCTAGTAAATTCGTTTACTTTTCGCATTTTCACTTCTCACACAAAACCGTAATACTCCCAGAGAGTAGATTGGCTACGTTTAGCAGAGAAAGCTGCTTTGCAACGGGGGCGTCCCGATTGACCACGGTACGATTGGGCACAACCAACTGATGAAAAGAATTATCTAGTGAATTACTAGGTCGAACCAATCATTACAATTTGTGTCCAATCGTATCGTAGTCAATCGGGTCCTACCTCTTTGCAACTGTTGTAAAATTCGTGAATCTCATTAGTACATGCTCTTGGATTCAACCAAAATTAAAAGCATACTCCAATCAGATTCACGAATTTTACAACAGTTGCAAAGCAACTTTCTCTGCTGAACGCAGCCATTGTGTGTCTCAAAACACAGCGAAAATTAAAAAAATGAGTAAATTTATTAATTGTCGACCAATAAAATTATACATATTCTAGTAACTTTGTTACATTAATAATTTTTATTGCGTTTTGAGGTATCGATTTCCAGAATAATGTCTCTTGCACATAAAACACAGCAACGCTTGTCGCGCGTCGGAAATTGGTTACACAATACGGCGATAGCCAATCAATATGGCTTTCTATAATAAACTTCTACTTTTTTGGAAAAATGTTAATTGGCTATCGAGGTAGTTTCTAGCCCACTTTTATCACACTGACGCGTCCTATGTGGGTGAAACCCAATTGTACACAGTCTCATCGGATACGAAATGTAATGATTAGTTAGATCTAGTTTGTTCTAGTAATTCAGTAGATAAAGCAAAGTACTGCCGACAACGACATATATAACGATAAGTATCTACAATAACAATATTATAAAATAAGTCTAATAAAGGATTTATCCAATTCCGACGTATTGTAATGCAGGATTCACACCGCGTCCGACGTCCGACGTACGACGTCCGATATCCAATAGGAGAACAGCTTTCTAACAGCTTTTCTAGAGAATTCAATTCTGCATTGGAAAGCTATTTTTTTATTGGATATCGGACGTCGTACGTCGGACGTTGGACGCGGTATAAATCCTGCATAAGGCCGATTCTACATTAGTTATATATCTCAAGATCGCAGGAAAATTGACCAATCACAGTAAACTTTTCTTCAATCGCAAGGAGAACGATTGACTATGATTGGTCAATTTTCTTGCGACCTTACGATTTGCAACTAATGGAGGATCAGACGCAATGTGAATCCTGCATAATGTAAAACGACTCTTAAACAGACATATAGCGTGTTCGACTGGCCCTGGGTTAATCGCTCCGAGAGCGATTAATGACGTCATAAGTCATAAGTCATACGTCATAAGTCTCTACTAGCAGATCATAAAGCTTATACGTATTTATTCGATCAATAAACGTAGGCTGAATAACCAGAGTGGGTTAATCCAGAGCCAGTCGAACATGCTATTAGTGTCACATAGGTTGTATTCTTTTATTTGCAACAGATGTAGCTGAATGCATCTCAAGAATGCATCAAGATTGCACTTTTCAAGGTTACTAGCTAGTGATGTACTGTCCCTAGAAAATAAATTTTCCTATTGGCTATTGGATCGTCGTATGTTCAACGTCTGGTCCCAATCAGTAATGTATTGTCAGTAATCAGTATCAGTATTGCCTTTATAAGAATTGTGTGTGTGAGAGAGAGAGAGAGAGAGAGAGGGAGAGAGAAGAGAGAGGCAGTCTAATAATAATATCAAATAATATAAAAAATGTCATTAATTGAAATCGATTTAGTACATGGAACATGGCCAGTTATTAGAGGATGAAGAGTCCTCAGAGTTAATTTTAGATGCTGTTATTACAAACAAACTTCCAATAGCTCCCACATTTGCAGTATCCATCTAAAACTCATTAATACATTAATTTTTGCATATTTTTTACTACAATTATCCCAGCAAACACAAAATATAACTGTTATATAACATAGACCTAACACATATTCTTGTTACTTCTATGTTATATAGCAGTTATGTCTTTCTTAGTAAGGATTGATAATATTTCGACTATATTTAATACACATATTTGTACATTTATTGAACATATTACATCCCCAGTAAGCAATCTG